CCTGCTCAGTGGGGAGTTTGCTTCTCTCTCTCTCCGTCTGTCGCTACCCCCCTGCTTGTGCTATCACTCTCTTTCCAATAAATAAATAAATAAATAAAATCAATCTTTTTAAAAAATCTACAGAAACAGGGACTTTACACACAATACAATGACACTAAATCCATGTCTTTCAATAGTTACTCTGAAAGTAAATGGACTAAATACTCCAATCAAAAGACATAGGGTATCAGACTGGATAAAAAAGCAAGACCCATAAAGAGGGCACATTCTGCGTGGAGCACTGGGTGTTATGCACAAACAATGAATCATGGAACACTACATCAAAAACTAATGATGTAATGTATGGTGATTAACATAACAATAAAAAATTATTTAAAAAAAAAAAAGCAAGACCCATCCATATGCTGTCAACAAGAGACCCATTTTAGATCTAAAGACACCGCTAACCTGAAAGTGAGGGGGTGGGGAACCATTTACCATGCTAATGGACCTCAAAAGAAAGCTGGGGTAGCAATCCTCATATCAGACAAATTAGATTTTAAACCAAAGACTGTAGTAAGAGATGAAGAAGGACCCTATATCATACTTAAAGGGTCTATCCAACAAGAAGATCTAACAGTTGTAAATATTTATGGCCCCAACCCAATGGGAGCAGCCAATTATATAAACCAATTAATAACCAAAGTAAAGAAACACATTGATAATAATATATTAATAGTAGGGGACTTCAACAGCCCCACTCACAGCAATGGACAGATCATCTAAGCAGAAGATCAACAAAAAAACAAGGGCTTTGAATGACACACTGGACCAGATGGACTTCATAGATGTGTACAGAACATTCCATTCTAAAACAACAGAATACTCATTCTTCTCATGTGCACATGGAACTTTCTCCAGAATAGATCACATACTGAGTCACAAATCAGGTCTCAGCTGATACCAAAAGACTGGGATTATCCCCTGCATATTTTCAGACCACAATGCTTTGAAACTTGAATTCAATCACAAGAGGAAATTTGGAAGGAACTCAAACACTTGGAGGTTAAAGAGCATCCTACTAAAGAATGAATGGGTCAACCAGGAAATTTAGGAAGAATTTTAAAAATTCATGGAACTAATGAGAATGAAAACACATCTGTTCAAAACCTTTGGGATATAGCAAAGGCAGTCCTCAGAGGGAAGTACATTGCAATACAAGCCTCTCTCAAAGAATTAGAAAAATCTCAAATACACAAGCTAACCTTACACCTAAAGGAGCTGGAGAAAGAAAAACAAATAAAGCCTAAACCCAGCAGGTGAAGAGAAATAATAAAGATTAAAGCAGAAATCAACGAAACAGAAACCAAAAGAGCAGAACAGATCAACGAAACTAGAAGCTGGTTCTTTGAAAGAATTAATAAGATTGATAATCCACTAGCCAGACTTATCCAAAAGAAAAGAGAAAAGACCCAAATTAATAAAGTCATGAATGAAAGGGGAGAGGATCATGACCAACACCAAGGAAATACAGACAATCTTAAGAACATATTATGAGCAACTATATGCCAACAAATTAGGCAATCTGGAAGAAATGGATGCATTCCTGGAAACTTATAAACTACCAAAATTGAAACAGGAAGAAACAGAAAATCTGAACAGACCAATAACCAGTAAGGAAACTGAAGCAGTAACCAAAAGCCTCCCAAAAAACAAGAGTGCAGGGCCAGATGGCTTCCCGGGGAATGCTACTAAACATTTAAAAGAGAAATAATACCTATTCTGCTGAAGCTGTTTCAAAAAATAGAAATGGAAGGAAAACTTCCAAACTCATTCTATGAGGCTAGCATTACCTTGATCCCCAAACAGGACAAAGACCCCATCAGAAAGAATTACAGACCAATATCCTTGATGAACATGGATGCCAAATACTCACCAAGATATAGCCAATAGGATCCAACAGTACATTAAAAGGATTATTCACCATGACCAAGTGGGTTTTATTCCTGGATTGCAAAGGTGGTTCAACACTCGCAAATAAATCAATGTGATAGATCACATTAATAAAAGAAAAGACAAGAACCACATGATCCTCTCAATTGATGCAGAAAAAGCATTTGACAAAATACAGCATCCGTTCTTGATTAAAACTCTTCACAATGTAGGGATAAAGGGAACATACCTCACTATCATAAAAGCCATCTATGAAAAGCCCACAGCAAATATCATTCTCAATGGGGAAAACCTGCAAGCTTTTCCCCTAAGATCAGGAACACAGCAGGGATGTTCACTATCACCACTGTTGTTCAATATAGTACTAGACGTCCTAGCCTTAGCAATCAGACAACAAAAAGAAATAAAAGGCATTCAAACTGGCAAAGAAGAAGTCAAACTCTCACTCTTCGCAGATAGCATGATACTTTATGTGAAAAACCCAAAAGATTCCACCCCAAAATTGCTAGAACTCATACAGTAATTCAGCAATATGACAGGATACAAAATCAATGCACAGAAATCAGCTGCATTTCTATACACTAACAATGTGACTGAATAAAGAGAAATTAAGGAGTAGATCCCATTTACAATTGCACCAAAAACTATAAGATACCTAGGAATAAACCTAACCGAAGATGTAAAGGACCTGTACTCTAAAAACTATATAACACTTATGAAAGAAATTGAGGAAGACACAGAGAGATAGAAAAACATTCCATGCTCATGGACTGGAAGAATAAATGTTGTTAAAATGTCTATGCCTCCCAGAGCAATCTACACATTCAATGTACTCCCTATCAAAATAACCATCGACGTTTTTCACAGAGCTGAAACAAATAATCCTACAATTTGCAAGGAACCAGAAAAGACCCTGAATCACCAGAAAATGTTGAAAAAGAAAACCAAATCTGGGGGCATCACAATGCCTGATTTCAAGCTACATTATACAGTGTGATTAAGACATGGTACTGGCATAAAAACAGACACATAGATCAATGGAACAGGATAGAGAGCCCAGAAATGGACCCTCAACTCTATGGTCAACTAATCTTTGACAAAGAAGGAAAGAATATCCAATGGAAAACAAACAGTCTCTTCAATAAATGGTGCTGGGAAAACTGGACAGACACATGCAGAAGAATGAAACTGGACCATTCTCTTACACCACACACCAAGATAAACTCAAAATGGACAAAAGACCTAAATGTGAGACAGGAATCATCAAAATCCTACAGGAAAACACAGGCAGCAACCTCTTCAACCTCAGCCACAGCAACTTCTTGCAAGACACGTCTCTAAAGGCAAGGGAAACAAAATAAAAAATGAACTATTGGGACCTCATCAAGATAAAAAGCTTCTGCACAGCAAAGGAAACAGTCAACAAAACTAAAAGGCAACCTATGGAATGGGAGAAGATATTTGCAATGACATATCAGAGAAAGGGACTGGTATCCAAGATCTATAAAGAACTTATCAAACTCAACACCCAAAAAAACAAATAATCCAGTCAAGAAATGGGTAGAAGCCATGAACAGACATTTCTTCAAAGACGATGTACAAATGGCCAACAGACACATGAAAAAATGCTCCACATCACTCGTCATCTGGAAAATACAAATCAATACCACAATGAGAAACCACTTACACCAGTTAGAATGGCTAAAATTAACAAGACAGGAAACAACAAATGTTGGCGAGGATGTGGAGAAAGGGGAACCCTTCTTACACTGCTGGTGGGAATGCAAGTTGGGATAGCCACTCTGGAAAACAGTTTGGAGGTTCCACAAGAAGTTAAAAATAGAGCTACTGTATAACTTAGCAATTACACTACTGGGTATTTACCCCAAGGATACAGATGTGGTGAAACGAAGGGGCACCTGCCCCAGTGTTCATAGCAGCAATGTCCACAATAGCGAAATTGTGGAAGGAGCCGAGATGTCATTCAACAGATGAATGGATAAAGAAGATGTGGCTTATATATACAATGGAATATTAGTCAGCCATCAAAAAGAATAAATACCTACCATTTACATCGATGTGGATGGAACTGGAGGGTATTATGCTAAGTGAAATAAGTCAATCAGAAAAAGACAATTATCATATGGTTTCACTCATATGTGGAATATAAGAAATAGCAAAGAGGATCAGGGGAAGGAAGGGAAAACTGAATAGGAAGAAATCAGAGAGGGAGACAAACCATGAGAGACTCTTGACTCTGGGGAACAAAATGAAGGTTGCAGAAGGGGAGGTGGGTGAGGGGATGGGGTAACTAGGTGATGGGCATTAAGGAGGGCATGTGATGTAATGAGCACTGGGTGTTATACACAACTGATGAATCACTGAACACTACATCTGAAACTAATGATATACTATATGTTGGCTAATTGAATTTAAATAAAAAATAATAAGAAAAACATTCATCTGAAGGAAGGAAAAAAAAAACCTTTCACAATAAGTCAGAAAGCCTCTATTCAGAAAAAGGTACAAAAGTACATACTCATAAAATTTTACACACAATTTCATGAGATTCATAGTAACCTCCAGCCCACTCATGACTTCTATCCACCCAGGTTTATAACCTCTAAGTTAAGGAGAACAAAAAATGAACTTATCTTTTTATCTTCAAATTTTTAATTTTATAACTGGCAAAATAATTTTACAACCTAAAATTATTGACTTCTTTTAGATTTGAACAAAGCAATTCATTCCTTTAAGCCGTATTTCTTTCAAACTAAATAATGCTACTTTTTAAATCCATAATTTACACCATTAGTTAAAGATTACCAAACTTACACTGGGTATTATGCACAAACAATGAATCATGGAACACTACATTAAAAACTAATGATGTAATGTATGGTGATTAACATAACAATAAAAAATTTTTTTAAAAAAAGATTACCAAACTTAGATAATAAAATTTTAAAATAATTAAATTGCCATTTCTTAAGTCTGCATTAATTTATTCACTGTTAAACCATCTCTAATCCATTAAATAAATGTCACAGGTAGAAAAAAAATCTTACCTGCAAAATGGGAAAAGTAGCAGTGGTGATGCCCATTTTGTGTAAATTTAAGAGCATTTCACTTCCACTCCATATTTTACAGGATGATTCATAATCCCTTTCCATAAGATGTTCAGAATTTGCTTCTAACCAACTAAAATAAAACAATTCCATCAACCAGTATCATCCTTACATGCACTATTTCAACAAAACAAAGAGAACTGTGATACATTGATCATATTCCTTGAAACTCTTAGGATACAAATGTGAATTAAGACATTTTAAAATGCATGCACGTTTCATATTGCATAATAAATACTTATATAGCTAAAAAGTAAGCTTTTATTCAGAAAAGAGAAACATGCATGTGATTTCCCAGTTGTGTTTTTTTAGATTCACACTGCTTTTTCTTTCCAACTGAGAACCAGGTATAGAAGCTGATCCCAAATGCGCATAAAGGAAATATAAAACAATCTAATATAGAAATTAAGGTGTTACGTGTTAAGACAAAAAAGAGTTACTAGAAAATATATTCATTTTTATGTATACATATACATTTTTACATTCAGTAAGTACTTAAATGCCTATATTATGTCAGACACTACTGGGACTGGGTACTGGAAATACAGCAATAAGTAAAATAGGCAAGATCCTTATTCTCATGGAAATTACATCCTACTAAAGGGAAAAATAAACTTAGAAACACATATATGAAACAAGAAAATATCAGGTAATGAAAAGTCATATAATGAAAATAAATTGGCTTAATGTAGTCTACTTGCTATTTTAATTTGAACGTCAAGGAAGTTCTCTGTGAGGTGACATTTATTCTAACAATTGAATGCAAAAAGTACCCCGTCATGAAAGGATCAGGAAAAAAAAAAAAAAATTCAAAGCAGAAACAACAGCTAGTGCAAAGATTCTGAAATAGTAAACAAATTTTGCTTATTTAAAGACCTGACAGAAAGCCACTGTCGTTGCAACACAATGGGCAATAAGGAATAACATTATGAACAATGTTAGAACAATATTAGAGTGTTAAGCAGGGATCAGATCATGTTGAGCCAAGGTAAGGAATCTGGATTCTACTCAAAATGCAAAGGGGAAGGTTTTAAATGGAGGATTGATTGAGAGAACGTGAGCCTGTGAGCAGAGGGGTGGGGAGGACCATAGGGAGAGGGGGAGGGAATCTTGAGCAGGCTCCACACCCAGCATAGAGCCTGATGTGGGGCTCAATCCCATGACCCTGAGATCATGACCTAAGCCCAAGTCGAGTCAGATGCTTAACTGACTGAGCCACCCAGGAACCCCTTAAATGCAGTATTTTAAATAAGAGACAATCTGGGGCGCCTGGGTGGCTAAGTCTGTTGAGCATTTGACTCTCTCAGGGTCGTGAGATCAACCCCTGGGTCTGGCTCTGCGCTTGCAGAGTCTGTTTGAGATTCTCTCTCTTCCTTTCCCTCTACCCTTTCCCCAACTAGTGCACTCTCTCTCTAAATAAATACAATCTTAAAAAGAGAGAGAGAGAGAGAAAATCTATTTTAAGTGTTAAAAGATGATTCCAGTTTCTAAGCCAGAATGGATTATAGGAGAAAGGCAAGAATGAAAGCAGAGACCTGCTGGAGGCTGTTACAGAATTCTAGTTGAGAGATGATTCTGGGATAATAGATATGAGATTGAAGGATTTGGGATATACTATACAGGTGGCATTGTGAGGCAGTAATCAAGGATAATAGATTTCTGATTTGAGGAACTGGCTGGTACTGTTTGCTTAGATAAGGAAGACAGAGCATTTGGGCGGAGTAAGTAGGGGAAGGGAAGGAATTTGTTTTGTAAAGTTGAAATTAAAATCCAAACAGACATATATAAAGTACAGTTGGATATATGAAAATAGCATTCCAGAGACAGACTAGAATCTAGATTTATTATTGATTGGGCTAGACAGAAATTCAGGCCTTACTAGTACTACTATGGTACTCGGGTTATGCAATTTAGGCAAAGTACAGAGATAGAGAAGAAATGAGGTCCCAGGACCAAGTCCTGAGGCACTTCAACATTTAAACATCAAACAGAATAAGAACTATCAAAAGAAACTGGGAAAGAATGAACTGTGAGGAAGAGGAAAATCAGTTCTCATAGAGGCTGTCTAGGAAAAAGTACTCCTATATGTCTCCTCTTGTCTCACTAGTTCACTTCTGACATATTTGGTCACTAAATATATGTGGGGTTCTTTTTTCCTTGCACTAAGCAATTCTCCAAGACACTAACTGGGTGTCCTATGATTCAATTCAATTCTGACACTAACTGGAGTTAGCATAAACTCCACAGGCTAAGCATTCAGTTATCACCAGACTGCCCTCCCCACCTCTTCACCTCAGATGCCAGCATTTAAGTCCAAAATGTCATCTGTGCTTCTGACCAAGCAATTATAAATCAGAGGTTCCCATGACCCCTCCTCAGGTGTGATCATTTACTAGAACAACCCACAGAACTCCAGGAAACACCTATGTTTACCAATTTATTATATAATAAAGGATACAGATAAATAGCCAGATGAAGAGATAAATGGGGAGAGGTCTGGAAGGGTCTGAGCACAAGAGCTTCTGCCCCTGGAAAGGTGGGATGCTCCAAGCACATAAATATGTTCGCTAATCTGGAAGCTCTCTGAATCCTGGCTTCATCACGTAGGCATGATGAATCTCCACTCCCAGTCTCCACTCCCTCTCCCCTTTCCGGGGGAGGGGGGGGGGTTGAAGTTTTTAGGTTTTTTTTTTTTTTTTTTTTAAAGATTTTATTTATTTATTTGACAGAGAGAGAGACAGAGAGAGAGAACACAAGCAGAGGGAGTGGGAGAGGGAGAAGCAGGGGGAGTGGGAGAGGGAGAAGCAGGCTTCCTGCAGAGCAGGGAGCCCGATGTGGGGCTCGATCCCAGGACCCCGGGATCATGACCTGAGCCGGAGGCAGATACTTAACGACTGAGCCACCCAGCCGCCCCTGAAAGTTCTAAGCTTCTAATCATGGTTTAGTCTTTCTAGTGACCACCCCCATCCAGGAGCCCACTAAGCATCACCGCATTAGAACAAAAGACAGCCCTAGCACCCAGGAAATCCCAAAGGATTTAGGAGTTCTGTCAGGAACTGGAGTCAAACATGCTCTTAGTGCTCTTACCACTTAGGAAGTTACAAAGGTTTTAGGAACTCTGTGCCAGGAACCAGGAACACAGAGCAATGTGTATATATTTTCCATTATTTCACAGAAGGTAAGCCAAAAACACTTTTCATAGAGTGAGAGTCCACAATGCCCAAACAACACTGCTGAGAGGCTGAGTAAGATAACAGAAAATTAACCTTTGGATTTATTAACATATGGATCATTGGTGACCTTGATAAGAACAGTTTTAGTAGAATTCTGCAGACAACACAACTGACTTCAGTGAGGAAAGACTGGGAAGTGAGAAAATAGAATTAGCAACTATAGACAACTCTTTCAACAAAGTATGCTATGAATTAAAAATGAAAAACTGCTACATGACAAAAATACCACTAGGAAAGGCACAAAGCACATGGCAAAATAGGGGAAAATGTATTTGCCACTTTTATCACAGACAGGCAAAGGGTTAATTTGCAAAGAGCTTCTACAAATCAGTAACAACCATAACAAAACCAAAGAAAGGACAGAGACGTCAACAGACAGTTGACAGAAAAGGAAATATAAGTGGCCTTTTAAAATACTTAATATTGGGGCACTTGGGTGGCCCAGTCAGTTAAGTGTCCTACTCTTGGTTTCAGCTCAGGTCGTGATCTCAGGGTTGTGAGATGAGCCCCACGTTGGATTCCACGCTCAGTGCGGAGTCTGCCTGGGGCTCTGTCTCCCTCTCCTTCTGCCTCTCCCCCCGCCCACCCCGCTCTCCCTCTAAAACAAATAAATCTTTTAAAAAAATGCTTAATACCAATCATATTAAGAGAAATGTAAGTAAAAACTGCACTGGAATACCACTTTTCACCCATCAGGCTAGAAAAAAACAAGTTCATTCTCTCATACATTGCTCACAAGAGTATAAATTAGTCCTCCACCTGCTCACTTATTGTGTAAATTTTAGAAATACTTGTCAGAATTACAAGTAGATCTATGCTTTGACACAACAATCCCATTTCTAGGAATTTTCCTATATACTCCCGTACATATGAAATAATTTATGTTCAAAGTTATTCATTACAGCAATGTAACAGCAAAGATTGTAAACCTCAATACCTATTAATTAGAAGCTAGTTAAACTATTGTACATCCATGTAACAGGATTCTAGGCAACTATTTTTTAAAACTGAGAAAGCTTTCTAAATCTTGATATGGAAACATCTCCAAAATATATTAAGTGAAAAAAGGCAAGATACAGGAAAATGTAGGTAAAAGTATAGTGCCAATAATTAACAATACTGTACAGTATACTTAAAAATTTGCAAAGAGAGTAGATCTTACATTAAGTGTTCTTATAAAAAAATAATATAAAGGGCAGAAGGAAACTTTCAGAGGTGATGTTTATGGCATAGATTGTGATGATAGTTTCATGGATGTATACTTATCCACAAACTCATCAAGTTGTATACATTAAATATTTACAGCTTTGTGTATGTCAATCATACCTCAATAAAATGGCTTTAAAAATAACATATTTTTATGCTTAAAATAAGATGACAATGGAGCACCAGGGTGGCTCAGTCAGTTAAGTGTCTGACTCTTGATTTTGACTCAGGTCATAATCTCAGGGTTGTGAGATCAAGCCTTGTATTGTCAGGTTCTGCGCTCAGCAGGGAGTCTGCTAGAGAGTCTCTCTCCCCCTCTCCTTCTGCCCTCCCTCACATGCATACACACTCTCTCTAAAATAAATCTTAAAAAAAAAAATGGAGAAGACAAAAAAAATGAAAGTATAGTATGCCATCATTTGGGTAAAAAAGGAGGAATAGGGGAAAGTATCTATATTGGCTCATATATGCACTGAATTGCTCATAAATATGCACTGAAGGATAAACTTATTCAGAAGGAGGGGAACTAAGCAGATGGGGAATGGGGTGGAAAGGAGTTTTTACAACATAAATTTGTATATCTTTTATGTTCAAACATGTGACTATGTAACATTCAAAAAAAACTTTAAGTACAATATGAAGGAAACAGTAAACTGCTGCAGTAAATGGAATAGAATGTAGGGTCAAGATCTAAGATAAAGAGATTCTAGATCAACAACCTAATGTCTAATAAAAAGGAATTCAATGTAAACTTTAATAAAACTATTACTAAATCTATTAAAGTAGTGAAATCTTGATTAAAACTCATCAAACCAGAATCCTACTCAAACTGAAAGATAAAGCAATAAGTTAAAGCCATAATCCAAAGTTTCAAAATGTTACTTAAAATCATCTTTAGTTTATGTTCAGCCCAATGTCCTATACACATCATACATGGGCTGTTAAATTATTCTGTTAAATTAGAAATAAGATTCACAATTACCAATTTAAAAATCGATTATTTATTATATTCTTTTGAACAAGACAAAAGTTTGGACTGGCCCATTTCTAAAAGTTTAACAGGCAAGGAATAATCCATTTCCCAAGTTGCCTGATCAAAGTTTACTAATTAAAATACTATGGCATAATAGAACATGTTTTTAATACAAAGGCAGCACAAATGACACTGTTAGACAAATGTTCTTACTTAATTAGGCTATAGCACACAGCTCGTAGAGGTTCATGGTCTTTCTTCCTTATATTATTATTGACCATACTATCTAGTTCATCTCGAGCAAACCGAAGCTGAACTTCTGTTACACTGTAACTTGCTGACTCCCGAGCACAGTCTTCAATGTTATGAGCTTCATCTAAAATGACAATCTGTTCTTTTAGATTGATATCCATCTATAAGACAAAAGAATTTTCCTGTAAAACATTCAGTAAAATGGACTTAACAGCAGTAGGCAAGATATTGCATTTAAAACTTCACACTATAGGCCAACATGGCAAGGATTATTATCTAAGTAACTGATTCTAGGTCTAAAACTTTTAAAGCACTAAGGCTAACAAATATCAACATTATAGTTTCCCATTTTTCACTCTCAAAATACTTTGCGTATTAAAGAGGGCACATTCTGCGTGGAGCACTGGGTGTTATGCACAAACAATGAATCATGGAACACTACATCAAAAACTAATGATGTCATGTAT